CAAGAGTAGTCTGGTTCAGGCTAAAACCTGGCGGGAGCGGGATTTAAAAATGAGTCCCATGCAGATCTCTACATCAGGGCGTCCCGAGTTCGAATCCTGGCTCAAGTACATTTACCATCCCCATACACCTCCCTTCCCCCCCCTCTAACTTATCTTCCTGTCTCATCACTGTCCTATCTAATAAAGGCAAATAGGCCAAAAATAAATCTTAAAAAAAAAGTTTATCCTACTCAGTTGTGTGTGCGCATATGTTTATATGTGCATTTTTAAAATGAATGCACATCTTAGCATTTCCATTAAGCGGTATCCCAGAATGTGCATAAAAATAGGAAGATGGAAACACACACAGAGAGAGAGAGAGAGAGAGAGAGAGAGAGAGAGAGACTCCTGCTGTCTGTCTGTGGATGTCTCTCATCCAGCCATATGGCAGCACACACAAACAGCATTATATAATCCAGATCCACTGTTCTCACCCCAAAAAACATCCTCCATATGCACATCTCCACCGTAATACGTCAGGCGGAGCTTTTAAGTGCACTCGACGAGCGTCTGGCCTAAAGTGTATCACATGGCATCAGCAGAGCTTTTTATATTCAGCCTGTTTTATTGCTTCTAATGGTTTGTCTTCCTCCAGTGTGTGTGTGTGTGTATGTGTGTGTGTGTGCATTGTTTCATAATGTCGTGTGTTTTTTGTGTTTTAAAGCCACTTCCTCTCGACGGTTGTGGCTGCGAGCTGTTTTCTCTCTCAGTGAACACTTTCAGTCCCAGCATGCACTCTGAGCTTCACCTCTGTTCAACCTGGATAATCTGCACACCTCCTAATTAGACTAATTAAACACACACCGGTCAGAGATCATCATTCATTAAACAGAATACACTGTTGGCGTATTTTGTGACTCGTGTTTTTATTGTATTTTTGTATATTTCTGCTTATGAAGTGCATTATGGGAACTTGATGTTTCTTCCTACAACTTTTAAAGAGCACCTATTATGGGTTTTTGAAGATGAGCTTCTGTGCAGTGTGTAACACAGCTCTAAGTGAATGAAAACATCCAGCTGAGGGTTAAATCTGAAAGTGTACCGTGACAGAGCGGGCCTCAGCTCTCTCTGGTGGGGCAAACTGGGTTCGGGGGACCACAAAAATGATGGCGTACTTTACAGCACTCCAGAGCACAGTGTTTGTTTACAGTGCTGGCAGGTGTAAAGCAGAGCACAAGGCCAGAATCTGCAGGATTCTCAGTGAAACTCCATTTGTTTGTATGTTTTTCCCCAGCTCTCATCATCAGCCTACATTTCCCAGAGTTCCCTGTCGGAGGCGGGGCGGCGTCAGTGGTCGGAGCCTCCATCGCCGCTGCCCGGTCAGAAGCCCCTGCAGACGCTGCAGCAGTGGGAGCAGTACTGCGATCCTGCAACCGGACGCTGCTACTACATCAACACCGACACCAAAGAGCGCTCCTGGAAGCCCCCACGGCGAGCCCGACAGACCAACCACAGCCAACAGGTGAGATAAACACTGACAGAAAATCACTAACAGCCAATCAACCAATCACAGAGTGCCAATCAATGACATCCGCAATCACTGACAGCCAATCAACCAATCACAGAGTACCAATCAATGACAATCACTGACAGCCAATCACTGACAGCCAATCAACCAATCACAGAGTACCAATCAATGACAATCACTGACAGACAGCCAATTACAGACTGCCATGCACAGACTGTTAAACACAACCAGTCAACCAATCACAGACTGTCAGTAACAGACAGCTATTCAACCAATTGCAGACAATTAATCACAGTCTGCCAATCATATAGAGACAATCAACCAATCACAGACAACCAGTCATACACAGCCAATCACAGAGACAATCAACCAATCACAGACAATCAATCATAGATGACCAGTCACAGAAAGACAATCAACCAATCACAGACAACCAATATCAACCAACAGTCTCTCGTGTGTTTGTAGGTCAATGCAGTGCATGCTGGGACGGTTCAGCGGGACATCAGACTCCTGTCACTGCCCTTACAAAGCACAGGAAGCAGCTCGATGCACAGGGTACACATTTACAGATCATAACTCTGTGTGTGTGTGAGTGTGTGTGTGTGTACCTTGCATTCCTTACTTTGTGAGGACCAATTTTTTTATTTTATTTTAAATCAAATGTTGAAAATGTAAAAATGTGGATTCTGGCAGCACGGTGGCCTCACAGCAGTATGGTCGCTGGTTCGAGTCTGGGCTGAATTTGTTGGGTGTTTCTCTGTGGAGTTTGCATGTTCTCCCATGTTGACGTGGGTTTCCTCCGGGTGCTCTGGTTTCCCCTACAGTCCAAACACATGCGGGATTTGATGAACTAAATTGGCTTTAGTGTATGATTCCGTGTGTGTTATGTGTATGGGTGTTTTCTAGTACTGGGTTGCAGCTGGAAGGGCATCTGCTGCGTAAAACATATGCTGGAATAGTCGGCGGTTCATTCTGCTGTGGCGACCCCTGATGAATAAAGGGACGAAGCCGAAGGAAAATGAATGAATGAATGAATGAAAATGTGGATTGTTTCCTGTGATGCCTGTGTTTAGGAGTGCAGGGCTCGAAATTGCGACTATTTTGGTCACATATGCGCCCGAAATTTTATCTATGCGACCTCAAAATATATTTAGGAGCATGTGTGCGAGTGCATTAAAATTGTTGTGTGCGACCAGTTTTTACTCAAAAGGTTCAGCACATGCACTGATTCGGGAGACATTCACGCAGAATGCATCTCTGCACTTGAAACGCAGCACTCAGGACTGGTTTAAAACAGTTGTCATGTCAACTTGCTGCAGTAAACAAAGCCAAGTCCGTAATGCTTGCCCCGCCTTTGCGCTCTTCTTATTGGCCCACTGCTCTAGCACTGAAATATCAGCTGTCAATCACTCAGTCAATGCCTTCTGGCTTGGGATGACAGAGAGAGCTACTACCACGAAAAACTAAAGCGCTGGAGATGAGAATGAAGAGAACACTGACAGATTTAGTTTTAGAAACCATCTAAAGTTACAAATAATGACACATCTTACTAGTGATCATGTGCTGAATGTTAATCCACCATCTACACTTTTCCAAGAGTGGATAAAACACTTTTGTTGGCTTCGAGTCCGCTATGAAAAGTCTGTGGGATGGAGTTTTCAGGTAACTGTTTGCCACATCTAGCACGAGAGCTTCTGTTTAATCCTTCATATAATCGCCAGATGCTGTCCGCCGTGCAAGTGGCAGATATATGTCAAATTAAACACCACGTACACCATCGCAAACGGACTTACACTGAGTAAACTAACATCGCTACTCATGAAGACCGGTATTGCTATTAACATGACGTATGCATATAATAAGGTACAGTATATGTCAAAAGCATCAGTGCAATATCAGACAGCACCCGTGAGAACAGCACAGTTATACCCTTAACAGATTCATTCATGTCCAGCAGTGTGTGCAGGGCCGGTGAGCGCTCCGTTTATCTTTTGGTCACTCAGTTATGTTATAAAAATCTATTTTCTTGTAGTAACGGTGCTTATAATTGCTGTGTGTGACTAAATTTTGGCTGACGCGCCTACATTTTTAAAGTAAGGAGCACCGGTGCTACCAAGCAAAAAGGTTAATTTCAACCCTGGAGTAGAGAGAATATGCAATCTGTACAGTATAAAAATCATTACGTCTATGGGAACAAGTGTGTGTGTGTATATGTGTGTGTGTGTGTGTGTGTGTGCTTGTAAGAAATAGATCAGCAGGAGATGCAGCACTGCTCAGTGTTTGACTATAGAATGTCCATTACTGCCCGTTCAGCTGAGATTAATAAGAACAAGGACATTAGAAACCCCAACACACTCGCTCGTGCTTGAACAGATTGTTTAGCCTCAACACACACACACACACACACATACACACACACATTCTGGATTGGCCGGTGCAGGAGAATCTGCTCATGTCACGGATTAGAAAAGGAAACACGGCCAAATGAAAAAGGGGATTAGGCTTACTGACGCTTATTCTTACTCATTTATTTATTTATTTATTTGTCTAAATTCATTTAGTGGGTCTCTAAAACAGATTTCAGATCCCTTTAATATGATCATTTCAGGATGTAAAGGAACATTACACTTTTTTAAATAATTTAGTTTGTTTTCTTTTGTTATTGTTATTGCACCCTGTGATTAAAAACAGATTAAAATTAAAACAGGATTTAAGGGAATAGCGGAAAAAGAAAAGAAAGAAAGACACCGATAATGCAGTCTGGTGTATGTAGCACAGTGCTCATTCAGTAAAGGCACAGCTGAACAAGTGCTTTTAAAAGCCTTTTTTTGATTAAGCTGATTCCAGCAGCAGGGGGCGCAGTAGCTGAAGGTGGATTCACCCTGCTTTGACTGAACCAGGGTGTGCCGGCGTCTTAAAAAGTCTTGAATTTCAATCATTCATTCATTTTCCTTCAGCTTAGTTCTTTTATTCATCAGAGGATGAATGAACCGCCAACTCTTCCAGTATATGTTTGACACAGCAGATGCACTTCCAGCTGCAACCCAGTACAAGGAAACACCCATACACACTCATTCATTCACACACACAATCATACACTACAGCCCATTTAGTTAATCAATTCCCCTATAGCGCATGTGTTTGGACTGAAACCGGAGCACCCGGAGGAAACTCACGCCAACACAGGGAGAACATGCAAACTCCACACAGAAATGCCAACTGACCCAGCTGAGGCTCGAACCAGTGACCTTCTTGCTGTAAGGCAAGGGTGTCTACACTCTGTCCTGGAGGGCCGGTGTCCTGCAAAGTTTAGTTCCAACCACAATCAGACACACCTGGGCTAGCTAATCAAGCTCTTACTAGGCTTTCTAGAAACATCCATGCAGGTGTGTTGAAGCAAGTTGGAGCTAAAATCTGCAGGACAGCGGCCCTCCAGGACCAAGTTTGGACACCCCCTGCTGTAAGGTGACAGTGCTAACCACTGAGCCACTGTGTTGCTGTGCTTAATTAAAAAAAATAACTAAATTTTAGGCTTTAAAAAGTCTTAAATTCACTAAAATTGTCTTGTTGGGCTTAAATCATTTTAATCAGGTCTTAATTTTCCAATCAGACCAACACTCATCCAGTCAGCCACAATACATCTCAATAAAACCTTTATCAAAAGTACAGTTTAATAACTCAAGTTTTTAAAGTCAATCAGAGTTTGCTTGTTTTGATCCATAATTTAAAATATGTGGCTAAGTAATAACAAAATCAGATTGTTTTAGGAGGGGACCAGTTAGAAATGCTTAGTGTTTAACGCTGCAGAAGTCTGAAATTGTATTCATAATGGTCCTGGAAAGGTCTTAAACAGTCTTAAATCTGAAACCTGCAGAAACCCTGTGAACTCTATTCCATCCTAATCATCCGAGTGATGTGCTAGCTTTATATTTAGTGAGCATATTAACAATAATAATAATAACACTGACCAACAATGATGATAGTGTTAAAAGCTGAGCTGAAGTCAACAAACAAGATCCTCACATTGGTCCCAGGGGCCTCATGTATCAACGCAAAGTTTTTGTGCGTACCCCAGATTTCACGATCACGTTTGGATTTACTAGCAATAAAAATTAACGTGAGAATGTGGGTTGGTCCACACCAACTTCATGGCAGGCGTACGAGCATTTCTTGTGTGTGTTTGTTTTAGTTCCATTGGCGACTCCTAGAGGCAATCATGTTAAATTGCACACTACAAAGTATCTTGGAGCCGTGCAATGGCAGCTGTATAGGATGGGATCCTCTGCATGTCTAGCAGGTATATCAGGTTTCCATACCATGCTGTTAAACCACAGTAAAGTTAGTTTGACATTCATTAGATATTCTCTGGATGGGAAGTATTGTTTTGTGTTTACCTCATAGTTAAAGTTGCTGCACCTCCGCCGGTTTCTGCCTCAAAATGAGCGAGTTTGAGCCACTTGTACATTCAGGAAGTGTTCAGGAAAAAACAAAACACCAGAGAGGAACGTCGACACAGAGGAACATAAAATCCTCACTGCCAACTAGCATTTCAGAAGTGTTAATGCAGACCAACAGAGACAGCGCAGAAGTATAAATGCACAGCTGTGCGCGTTGCATGTGTAACGTATCTACTTTCACTCAATGACATCGAGACGACACCAAGAGCTGCTTTCCTCCACTTTATTTAGTCCTGGAGAAGACAATTTAACACAAACATGTTGTCTTCTGGCTGTACTGCACATCCGACCCCTATTTACACAAAATAACAGAGTTTTCGCACTGAGAAACGAAGCAACATGAAGACAACATAGCAATCTGCCATGCTGTTAGCACTTTTGTTAATCTCTAGAAAATATAGTATGTATGTAATATAATACAAAGGCTGTTTCTCAATATGCGTTCTTCAGCAGTCTTGCGTCCTCGTGTTCTCGTGCAACGTCATCATCAGCTGCCTAAGTTCAGTTCCAATACTCAAGACCGCAAGTACGGAGGACGTGTGAAACTTCCTGGATGTGATCTTGATATCGAGGACGCACTGATGCAGAGTTGAGCACCGAACTCGCTCTGGAAGTCCCAGAAGTCTTTGTGACTGGAGGTCGGAAGCGCAGCATTTTATTTAGATTTATTATTAAAGTTCAGAGATATGACTTATTTACCTCAGGAGTTTCCCTAAATGAAACGGTGAAAGTAAACATTAATGAACATCTTAATAAAGGAATAAACACATTAAGATTGTTTGTTTGCTGAAATTCGTATTAAAATTAGTTTTATTTATATAGTGCAGGGTATATTTCTATTGCTTTTGTGCAAAGTATATATTTTGAAGAGGGGGGAAACAGTAAATCGTTGTATGAATGCTGTAATGTTTAAATAATTTCCATTTAAAATGCATGAAGGTCACGTGACCATCAGGAAGAACGCAGCATCTCGTTTCTCAAAGGACGCGTTCTCTGCCCTCGCGATCTCCAAAATTCGTTCTTCCGAGGACACCTGGCAAGACCGCTCTCCACAAGAACGCAAGTCCGTTCTCTGCGTTCTTGGAATTGAGAAACAGC